ACAAAATAAAATGTAAATCATATCTATATTAATTAATATTTTGTATTTTAATTTTGTATAAATGTATAATGTACCTACAATCACTCTTGTATAAGACATGATAGTTTCCGGTCCTTTCAGTTATAGATACCTACATTAATTTTCTTAAAAGTATATTATGAACTCTTTATTTAATTTTTTTTTAATTTTTTTGACACAATATGAATTAGGTAATAATTATTTTTATACTTCTTCTTCAATAATAATAAAACATTTCGCCAATTCGTATTTTGTCAAAAGTTTTATGTACCTATTTAGTTGAAATGATTTTATGATATTATAATCAAATTAATATTTATCATAGCCTATAGGTAACACATTCAACATACATTATTAAAATATAATGTAATAGTTATTTATTTTTTTTAATGTTATAACTTATAATTTAAAATGTAAGATGGAAATAATATTGATAGTACCTACCTGTACAATATTATATAGTAAAATACGATTTCAGTAATTCAATATTTCAATATTTAACGTAATAAGCCCTACTATTATATAATATACATACGTCATAACGATAATGCTTATTTTATTAAAAATTTTAAATAAGTATAAAATAGACGACTGGATATGGTTTAAATATTTAACACTAATTATTTACCTATATAACAGAATTATGGCGATTGCTAAACATATTTTGATTAAACATTCCCAATTTTTACTGTTATTGTACTTATACCTAAATATATTATAAATCAGACCCAATAATTGTTAAGTGAAATGTTACTGGGTTACTCGAATATAAGGTAGCAACAACTTAAAATATTACAAATTCTACTTTATAAAGTCTGATGCAATCTTGCAGTCTACAAGATCATTATGCAAAGAGTTATTTTTAAACTTTATCTATATACACTGAAGGTAGGTATATCGTCTAAGATATCGTCTTAGATAGCTTAATGTTCAGAATATTCAAAAGTCACTTCATACTAAATCATAGGTATACTGTGTATTGTGTATATTATGCAGGATGATTCTTGATAAACACTCATTACTCGAAAAATATCAACTTATTTGAGTAATTTTAAGTAATTATAAAACCAAAATATGTTTTTGAGAAAAAATTAAATATTTTACTATTTTTATAGTTTTAAATTATCATTTTTGTTCAAATATATATTATAATATTAAATATATTAAAAAAAATGTAATAACCACCGGAATAATGAATGTTTACTGTAATAGTCTCTATCTGTACCAGTTTTCAGAATGTTCCAGTTTCCAGTTATCAGGAAAAATTAATCCTTTCGCGTTTGAAAAAAAAAAAAAACAAATTAAAAAATTTACATTGTCAACATTTATGTTCAAATTTTTTTCAAACTATCACTGTCACAGTGTCTTTTCGTCTTTCACGTTCCTCAAAAAATATAAATAGTATGGGGTGGTTAGTATAGTATAGTTATTACTTAATTATTTGTATATACTGTTCTCACTCATTAGTCATTACATATTATAATATATTATTATATTAATATTACATTATTACCTTATTAGTTGATATTATCATTATGCGATCTATATTGATAACAACTTACGGGCTCATAGGGGAGTTAAAAGGGTGAGATTCGATAAAAACTATATCTATATGTATACATATATATAAGTATTTATATATGAAAACGTTATTACTTATTATTTTGTTTTGATTGTCACTAATCTTCTATACCTACCTACAATATGTGTCATTCAAGTATTTGTAACATGAATTTATTACAGTTTATCATTGAATTTTTTTAAATAGCGGTGGTGAATTTTATAAGTGTTTTATGGAATACAGGAGTAGTTGTTTTTTGAAACGAAGTTTTTTATATCACGATGAAGAAAGCCGGAAAAAAACGTTCCTGACGAAATGCTATAATTTATAATATATTAAACAGTTATTTTAGCCAAAACTTCTAATTTTTATTCTATAATACTGATCGATTTAGTAATGCGTTAATACTTTTTAAAATAGATTTGAATTTGTTATTTTGTCTACTTGAGATTGGTCAGTCCACTTTTACCAATTTCACCCCCCCCCTTCCAACCTTTAATATTTTTACTCTTTTTGAGGTATTTATATAGGCATGAGACATTTTTCTTTTTAAAAAAAAAAATATTGTTGATAAATAATTTTTCCCTCAGTCAAAAGACATTAATACAAGGTTCCTCGTACGTTGTTATTAATATACCTAATTTAAAAAAAATTAACTTACGTATATTATTATACATTAAACATTTAATTATTATACGCAATGACATGTTCAAAATATTTAGATTTATTTTCAAGCTGTATTATAATATAATATTTATACCATGAACTTATTACACTGTCCTGCCTTCTACGGTAAGGTGGTATTGACTCAAAAGTTAATACCTAACAATAATAATATAAAGGGTTAGTCTAGGGTTTATCATTGATGGAAATTTATATGCACCTACAACCTACTGTTAAAATAATTGCAACCTACCGTAATACTAAATACTAATAGTAGAATAAGTTATTAATGAATATAAATATCAAAAAACATATGAAATATATGAAATATTGATTATAATATAGGCTCACAAACCTTCTCCGCTCAGAATTGTTTTTCGTAAACAGTGATAATACAATATAATTGAATTCAAATTTAACACATCCATTACAGTGACCCACTACTCACTAGACACCTACTGTACCTCAGAGTGATACCCACCTGTCTATACCTTTTTTTATCTATATCAATTTTTAAGATTTTACATTTTTGAATGACAACAAAGGTGCACATTTTTCATTTATACTCTCATAACCCGAAGCAAAATATTATTATTTCGGTGTATTGCGGTATAGGAGGTACATATACAAATTTAATTTTGAACAAAAAGTAAATTCGTTTTATCGTAGACTGCAGTATAATGTATATTTAATAAAACGAGTAGAGTAGAGTGGCACATGGACATTGGAACCCCGCAAAATGTTGGTCCACTACTCGCCGCACATCTGAACTTTTAACGACTTATTATACTAATAAAGCAATAATCTACTCAATACTCATTCAAATTCTTTGTTTATGTTTCGAAGTAGGTAATTATAGTAAGGATTGCAATGAACGATGGTGGCTTACTTTAAATCCTTTGATGTTTGCATAAACCAATAACAATTAATAAAACATACGTGTACGTCTGCGGCGTTGTGATTTTGCGAATTTGACTGCAAGTGTAGAGTGTAGACCAAAAATATACGCCCCGTTTGTTTAAAATTGTACCTTTATTGTTATCAAATATATCTAAAATTTGTAAATAGATACTATATACTATATAGCTGATAGGTCTATTCTATTCTACACCATGTATATCGTGGTAATAATATTATTTATTGAGTCAATTCTGGTACTTGGTAGTATGTCTATATTTGTGATTTCCTTGGATTTTGGTTTCGTGTAGATCGTGTAATTATTATTGAAATCGATATCTGTTGACTGTTGTTTTAGTCTATAGTTATATTAATTGTATTCTGGCAGTAAGTAAGATGTTTTTTTTTTGTACTATTATAATAATATATTAAATATAATTGTGATTTATATGTCTCTATATACATATTATTATGTGCAATTCACTTTGAGCAATAAAACAATGAAATAAAATAATAATAGTAATAAACACGTAGTGATTGTTCAAATAAAACACATCAGATATAGCCTTGAATTAGAAGATAAACAAAAACAAATTTAATAAAAAAACTTATTTTTCATAATTAACACGGATTTTGAGCATATTATAACTCGCTATATTATTATTGTTGTTATTGTTGTTAATAAAGGTCATTATTTTAACACATAATTTTTTTTTGAAAAAAAAACTATATTATTGTACCTATATATAATATACAACTAATTATTGTGGCTTAGCTGTTGCATAATATCTAAATATCTAATCGAATGTTTTTGTATTCAATTTGCTTGTAGGCTTCATTATAAGTACTTTGTTTATTAAAATCACATATAATATTTTATTCTCGTATAACTGTTAGGAAATTGAGGACATTAATGTCACCATTTAAATTGTAAATAGAACACGTTGAGAACATTAATAAATACACAAACACAACAATTTGTTTAATAATTATACGTATATTATAATATAATATTTGATTTTTTATGAACAGTTTTTACTTATCTTGGTAGATGAGAGATATGACAATAGTTGATTTTCTTTATTTTTTTGTAGTTTTAACATATCACTAAACAGCTTTAGAAGCTAAATAGTTTTACAATTTAAACTAAAATAATTAAAGAAAATACTTAATAACTAAAACTAACATAAAATAATCTTGAACATAATATAACCTATAGAATATATTGAAGAAACATAAACTTGGTCCTATATTAAACAAAAAAAAAATACGATTCTACGCCAAAGACACACGACGGTAGTGTCACAAAATATATTAATAAAAATATTTTAAATAGAAATAAATAAGAAAATACATATTTATAGACTACATATAATATGATAAGTATATATTATAATAAATTTGGTTTAATGCTAAATAAACATTATTAGGAAGAGTAGATGATTTAAAGTTGCCAAATCAAGTCGATGTAAAGGTTTACAATATTTTCGATATTCAACTACAATAATTATTTGTGAGTACTTTAAAATATGATATATTACACGCACACATAACTAGGGGTCATGAACGTGCGGTACCTATCTATTAATTAAAGTGTATGAAGCATGAGCAAAATGTAATAAATAAAAATAAAAATATTATTTCCGAGAGATCTTGCCGGTAGAAAAAACAAAAAGTTGTCCCATCGTCACCGGTGACTAGAAACACGCCGAAGACATACAATAATAATATTATAAACTATATATATAAATTATATGTAAATAAATATATAGGTAATAGATAAGTATTGCATTTTTTTTTGGTGGAAAAAAATGAATAAATGGTATATATATTTGCATGCGTTCGGGAGAATTTAGTCATTTTAACCGGATCTCATTTTCAACTTGTTCAGTGCGGTGTTTAGATGCAACATTTCCAAGTTCAATTGTGTCATGAGATTGTTGAGCTGTTCAACTGAGTCTAGGATTTCTGCTCTCTGGGTGTGTGGGTTATAACGGACTTCGAATGGTCGTGACATGGATGAAACCCATTTCCTGTAAACATCGAAATCAATTTCCGGTATAAATATTATGCTTCTAAACCATCGTCGTTTACATTTGCTATAGGTACTGCAGCAGCAGTGTTATAATTATGTGGCTGTTCGGTTATAGTTTAATCGATAAATAATACCTAACTAATAAAACTATAGTATATATTTTATATTGTTTTTGGTCTGCTCAAATACTATATAGGTGCGAGTACTGCATCGTATATTTATTTACCTGAATTTGTCCTTGGCGTCTTCGAAGCTTTCAGCGACGAAATAAATTGGCTGGTATTCTTGATCTTGGTATGGTTGGACGGCTGTGATTGATGGTTCGAATGGTCGGAGTTCGGGTTTGCCAGAAACAGCGTGCAAAAGTTCACCGTAAGCGGACAGCAGTCCTGCGCCGTAGGCCTTCACCTCTCCTTGTTCCTTGCAGAGACCGAACTCGATCGTGAACCAGTACACCTGTAAATGTTGAAAAGAAACGTAATGAATATGTATTATTAAACAATGTTCATATAATTGCGACATTGTTAATTGTGCAGTGACGGATAATCTATATTCTATATAATATGTAATACTTACAGTTGACAGTTTTTCGATTTCTTCGTCAGAAGCTCCAAGAGACGCTAAACCAAGTTCTTGTGAGAACTGAGCGAAACTCGGATCGGCCAATAAAGGCATGTGTCCGAGGACTTCGTGGATGTAATCCCTGAAAATAGGCGAAGTTCATTAGACTTTGTACCTGGGCTCGAATAGGTACAATTTTATTTATTTATTCTGTTAGTAGGTTCAAGACCTATTTAAATAACTCTGTCATAAATTTACAAGACATGGATGATTTTATATAAAACTGTTTTATCGAGCTTGTACACCTTTTACACATGAAAATGACTGGGTAATTAATTATTAACACTATACATGCAACTTTATCGAAAGAGCTTTGTTTAACTGAATTAAAGTGAACTTAAATATCACATAACCGGCAGTCACTATATAGATATGTAAAAGCAATTTTGTCATAGTTATACTTAATTGAATCACGGGCCACTTTATACATCGAAGTATAATGGACTTATATAGGAATGTTCGTACAAAAGGTTTATTTCCCCCATACATAATAGCGCAATATTGTAACGCGAACGGAAATTGTCTCTATCCGTGTCCCGTGACATAATCGGCTTGTCGACTTTATTATTCAATTTGTTTCAAAGAGATTTATACTTAATTCGATATTGAGTAAAAATATATTTAGATACGTAAATGTTTTTTAAGTGTACCTACGTTTTATTTTACCTTATTTTTCGATTTAGTTTGATTGAATAGGCATTACAACAAATAATACGGATTGAGAATATAATAATATGTACAATATTTTATGTGATATTGTTATATTTTTTCATTAGTCGTCACTGAATAATAAGTGTAATTTAGTTCCTCTAATATTATTGTAACACCAACAATGATAGTTACACATTGAAAAGAATAAACGACGTTCTTCGTTTTGCAATAACGGTGATTAGAATAAAGTTTCTAAATGTAATCAATTAAAAATAACGAAACAAATAGGTAACGACATATTAATGGTCGTGTACAGAATATCACAATAAGCGCCCGGGGACTTTTGCGCATTAAAATTGCCTATACCGCTTGCCTGGTAATGGTATTATGTCGATCTTTAATAATGATTATATAAATGATAATATTTCATAGTAAAAATTGTTTTTAAATTTGATCTCGTAATGTTATAATATAATATAACTGAAATAAATCGGGATAACATATTTTATTATAGCTTACCTAACATATAGATGATATATTATTATGAAACTATAATATGACCGTTTCTATGATTTAGTTTTTTTTTTAAAATGATTTATCTTAAACATGTTTGGCGGACAAGGTACTTACGGTTCGGGTGTGTGGAATGGTGATGTGCTGTGACGAATGTACTGCGTGCTCTGGAACACACGGAACGCGAGGCTGGCGAGGAAGTCTCGGGCCGTCAACAAACCAGCCGCCGGCCGGAGAGTGAATCCTGTGTGCTTTTTCAAGAATTCGTTCATATCCTTAAGTTGCGGGATCTTGTCAGCAGTGAATATGTTGTCGTCCTGCAGCATCTTGAAAGCGTCCCTGTATTCCATACAGAAGTGCTTGGGCATCAGGTCCAACACGTTGTTGAAAACTGCGGTCCATGTACCGACTTCGTCAGCAGTGTATTCGATAACTGGGATCAAGTCGCCGCTGTAAATCAAAATGCATGACGTGAATTTCGTGAAAAAAAATCGGAATACAATCAATAGTCACAAATAAAACAAATGTGAATCCCAGCGCTATATATAACGTACAATTTATATTCGAAAGCAATGTTGGCGATTTCCTTCCTGCGGTTGCGGTAAACTTTGTCGGAGAATCCGGGGTGGTTCATGTCCAATTCCGGTTCGTATTTGGTCATCAAGTGGTTGCAGTTGTCCAAGTCACGGGCATGTCTCGGGAACCACGGGTTCTTGACGTTGATGTTGTCTTCGGCTAGAATCGTAATGCTTGCCAATGTAGAGCTTTGTCTGAGTGTCTTCATTAATGCTAATAGATCTTTTCTTGTCATGTCCACTTTGGCCAAAATGTCAAATTGAACGCCTTGTTCCTTAGACGGCCTTGATTCCAAATGGACGACATTGCCTTTTCCATTCTGAAAACATCGCACGAAACCGTTATAGCATAATATTATACACACGAGTGACAAAAATCGTAAATATTGTCACAAATGGAATTTAACCGTTTTCCTAGTCAACTTACTTCGATTACTTTCAATACCCGGGCGAGTGAATTGATACCTTCGCGCAGACGCAATACCAGAGTAGCCCTTTGTACAGCCATCTCCGCGTCTTTGTCTTGGCTTGCTGCCTTCTCCAATAGCACCTCTTCTTCAGTAAGTCCGGCATCTGTGGGTACAAACGCCCGACGGCAATGTAATTAAAATCTCTGTACGGCGGAAATGCGATAATACAATTCCGGAATTATAAGGGACGGCGAGTGGGCGGCAGACCACGCAATTTCCTGAATGGCAAAGTGGCGCCGTTCCGGTTCTTTTGCTGCCCACTCTACTGTGTAATCGGTACTTATTTCGTCGGCATAAGTGATTTGGAGTGTCAAAAGGAAAATTGATAAAGCTACCGTGATTTTACGACATTTCGAAAAGAAATGGCCAGTAGGAATGATAAAGAAGAAAAAATTGAAGTATAAAGAAAAAATTGAAATGTAAAAAAAAATAAAAAAATATGTGAATACGAAAAATTCAATAGCATAACCGAGTTAAACGGTTTTAAGCTATTAGAGAAAAAATTACTCTATATATTCAGTAAGACGTTACAGCATGAAAGTTGTACTATATTTTTTCAGCACTACAAATATTCAGAAAATGTATTTTAAAATTAAAATGTAATATTTGTTTGTTCATATGGGAAAAATACGCTTTGGAACTACCTACTGATAATGCCTCTTATTTCTATTAATTATATTAATACACATTGTTATATAAATATTTACCTGAGTCATTGTCTGATGATGGTTCTGATGATTCGGATGATTCTACGTCTAATCAAAATAAGCCAAATAAAAATAATAAATAAATCATAGCAAACAAACAAAACTTCAAATAATAATATGCTCTTAGTCAAAAAATTACCGTTTTCATGATCGTGTTCAATAGATTTGTCTTCGGATTCAAAAACTTGACCGTCGTATTGATCGTTAACTAATAAAATAATATTCATAATAAAAATAAAAATTGTAAAAACAAAAATCCATGCAACTAAAAACTAAAAAGTGAAGAATACTAGTTTGTTTAATTAATTTAGAAACTTGATTATTTTTGCAACTTTTCAGTAAATAGATCTAAATATTATACTGTTTTATTTACTATAAACAAGTCACTCATATTTCGTATGGTTGTAATTAATGTGTATGTATTGATTACGAAAACTGTAGTGCCTAATTTAAATTTATTTTAAACATAAGAACCTTTAAATTTAAATTAACTAGACGATTTCCTCCAAATATTATACTATCTAAACTGGTTTTAAATATTATTGTTGCATTTTCTATGGTCATTAAGGTGGCAGTTGCGCAATAATTAATAACTTGACAATATCAATTATTATTGTAGTATTACAATGTTAAAATTATATAATGAATGTATAAAGCGAAAAGTGGTTAGGTTGGAATGTAGAAATAACGACGACGCACTATTAAATTTGAATTTGTGTGCGTAAAATGTTCGAAACAATAGTTAAAATTATTTAAAAATTAAAAAAAAAAATTAACTACGTTGAAAACGCCGCCGTCACTCATCATCGAGGAAAAAAATTCCTGAAACTAATGGAATAACGGAAAACAATAAAAGCATGACTTTCACTTACTTTGATCAAGATGTTGGCGTTGAAGTTGACTGGCGAAATGCGCTACGGCTGCGTCGGTCGCTAAAGAAGCGTCTAAAAGCCATAAACAACACATTGTAGCCATTTTATCGTCAGATACGTACATGATGGGTATAAAAAAATAATGCAATAAAATATAAATAATAATAAATGATGGAGACTACTGGCGACAAACGGCGATGACTTGAAAAATATAAAAACGGATTAAATAATACTACGGTATTATATGAAAGCTAAAAAATTAAAAAAAATTAAAGTAAAATAAATTAACGCGGTACAGAAATGGATAATATGATGGGTAGTGCACACGATATCGACGAAACGATTAAAATAATAATATAATGATTCGAGTCGGGACGAAAACGAATAGAAAACGAGTGGTCGTCGTCGTCGGGACGAATGTCCGGTCCGTCCGGCTATATCATATGTTATATTATGCAGAACCGCGCGATGTGCTTCGGCGACGAAATGGAATCCGCTCGGCGTTTCCGAGATTCCGGTGGAAGAAGCGACGGGCCGAGTGACCCTTAAACAATGTCAACTACAATTCGACAAGTACGTAATATTACGTATAAAGTGGTCGCCGCGCACGTCATCGCTTCGCACGCGACGGTTGCGATTTTTACGATCGCATTATAATTTATCATCGACCGTCGTTTGTTATTTTTTTTACTTTTTTCTCGCCTCTGATCGTTTTAAATATAGGTAAATAATATATAAAATAATTTATCTCGTGCACAATAATACTATCGTATACGGGTATATAAATCACGGGACGCGGACACGTGAGTCGATGTTTCGTCACCGGAATTATGGGGAATTGGCGATTCGGAAACGGCCAAACGGGTATAATATACGGCATCGACCCCATTGCCATCTCGGTCATTATGTATATTATTATGTACGATTGTGCAGCGACGGCGTCGTTGATCTTGAGCGTCGGAAACGGCCTCCAAGGCCGCGGCGCGTGTATTACATTATTATTATTATTGTGTATAAATATAACTCATATTATTAGCACGGCGGGGAACCTGTTCGGCGACCGCGGGTAATCGGAAAACGGAAACGCCGAGCGCGTAATTAACAATAATTATAATATTATTATCTTTGTTGACTCGGACAATTTTTGTCCGGTTTAGCGTGATTATTCGTAGGTTGATATTTTTATTTTTATTTTTTTTGTTATTCAGGTTTTCGGCTGGTTTTAATTTCGTTGTCATTCGTCCTCTACACCCGACCCAACCCCATCTCAATATCCCGCTCACGCGCAGTCGTCTACAACTCACCGTTCGCTAATTGCCGGGCTTCCTCCAAAACGGAATGTTTGGTCTGCTTCACGACGATCGTCTCGAATCTGGCGTCGTCTACGAGAGAACGTCTCCTCGCTGGATATCCGTTCTGAAATCATTGTACAAATTTTCGTTCGTTAAAAATTTAGATTTAAAAAAAAAAATATGTCGAGTGCGTTACGATCGCTCTAAAAAAAACACGTCTGTAGTCTGTACATGTATGTCGCATTGTCGCGACAAACTATAGTAAATAACCACGTCAATAACAAATCACAGACATGTCAATAATATTATTGTTGTACCGCCGGGGATGGGACAACAATAATATTATGTGCACAACACAGGGTACGTTGTTTCACCGTTTTCACAACTAACCGTTTTTTATCCACGTTCAAAATCGTTTTTGTAATTATTATTATCATATATACATAATATTGTTAACGCGTGCATTGTGTTGGAATAACCTTGAAAACTTCCCAGGAGGAGAATTTATACATATAATATAATATAGTTATAATTATAATATGCGCGTATATTATATTATTATCAAAAATCGACTATGTATATTAAAAAGAGAAATATAAAAAATAGGAAAATGTCATAAAAATAATTGAGTACGAGAACTCGATAACAATAGTTTATATAATATATATGAATATTGTACATATACCGCGAACACGCTGCGTGGCGCGGTGATGTGTAGTTGACGTATCTGATGACGTGAATTAATAATAATTACCTACTCGGTGTCAGATTTTAATTCGAAAACCGTGTCAAAAACACTAAACAGAAAGAGAGTGAGAGAGAGTGAGAGACATACGTTATATATATATGTGTGTGTAGAAAGAGATACGCTGTTGCAGCCGACCCGTGTTGGCCTGCCTGCAGAGGTTGAAAAAAAAAATTTGGCATTATTATTTCGCCATTGTCGTATATAAAAATAAGTAAATAGTTTTTTTTTTTGATTTGGCGCAATGATTATATATATATATATATTATTACCGTCCGCATTTTCTTTTGGTCACGTATATAATGGACCGTATAAAAAACGCATGAAACGAAAATATAAACAAGTGTGAAGTGAGGGGTAAATCCGGAAAAATTGTTATTCTTGACACACGTCATTTCATACAACGGCTTATAGGACTTTTCACTCAGTGTACTCTGCGTACTGGTTACGTATATATAGTGGTTTTTTTTTCTGTTGGAATTCGAAACGAGATTTTTTTTAAAAGAAAAATTTCTAATCATAAAACACGCGGAATGCGTGATAGTTGCAAATCGTTATGATCTGGACCACGAGTTATGCCGGTAAAAGTTTACGCTTAAGCTTGTTAAAGGCCATCATAGGTATATTATTATTATATACCTAACTATTCGGCCTCGGAACTCTGCGTGCAGCTGAGGTGGTATCTTGATTTTCGCAGAGCCATTACACGCCGCCCTTGTCTTTTTACAGAGAATATACAAGAACGGGAGAGTATAATATAAATTACAAAAGGTTTTGGGTCAATGACGTAGCACTTTTAAATGCAAGTGAAAACGTCTTTTTAGTTAATGAAATTAGGTGAAAAAAAACGAAGAAAAAAAACAAAACGTAAAATAAGAATCAACCCGACAAAATAATAATTAATATCTATATATAGTATTAATTGGCTGAATAAATGCACGGTTGTTTCTTTTAATTGTTTACTCGTTATTCGCCATCTCCGATAAAATATAAAAAGACGTCGCGATCATCGAGATTATAATATTACACACATCACAATATATATATCAGCACTTATAAATATACTTTTTAATAATAATATCGTTAAACCTATGCGGTTCGCCTTGACCTAGCTGATGCACTATTATATCGTAGGCGAAACAAGGGCGTCCCGTTACCGGTTGGATGTTATCGTACGGAAGGACGTTGATACTATTATTATGATATCATTATTATGTGGCGTTTCCCCTTGTGAACTCGCAGTGTGACGACTCGGGCCGATAGTAATAATAGATGTTTCTTTGGCTTGTGCGCTGTGGAAAATAACTTAAAGAAAAATCCAAAATTCGAATACGAAAAACGTGCTCTCTCCCGTATTGAACATAGTATTATAACCACGCTAAACGCGTACCTATGACACATAATAATAATAAATTGCTGCAGTATAATAATATATCGGAAAGAAAATTAAAGCGTTTTCCACGTGAATTTTCACGGCTAGTTAATGAACGAAAGAATTGAAAATAATATTGCATCTAGGTAGGTACACGACATAATAATAATGTCAATAAATCGATGGGTGGCTCATTGGTCAGTGGTCACGTCTGTCGGTTACTGGTAATTTATTAAATTAATCTCTGACGGAGTGTGGTGTAAACATCTGTCAAATCTCGCAACACGAAAATAATATAAATTTTTAGTGCCATATACGTAATATACGCACTGTGAGTATAATATTTTAAACGAAAATCGAAGTTTAAGTACGTCCGTGCATGAAGTGCAATTTATGTACATGCACCGGACGCTGCAAATACTGCTAGAGGGGTTTATGAATATGGATTTCAAAAACATGCCTTAGCATTTTGAATGTAGATCAAATGATCCGGAAACGAAAAAAAACCAAGGCCCCTTCCGCTGTCGACAAGGTTGAAAAGGAGAGGTTTATTTTTCTTTAGATCGGAGAATGTATTAATACGTTCTCGATGTTTTATATTATATTATATTATAATTTATATAAATAATCAAAATATTTTAAATCTTAATAATTAAGGCGACCTTCGGAAAAGTCCAAGATTAAAAAATTATATTTCTTGATGCTATTATTAATCATAGTATATAATATAATATAATTGCACAACAAAACGTTTAAGGATAAACGTGTCTGAGTGACTTGGACGGTGGAACGCAAAGTGTCGAATATAACTCGATATAGTGAATAAACGAACACGCGAACATTGTTTGCATACACAAAACGCCGTCTTATGGTTTGATCGCAAATGGGTTGTAAACTTGTAACAATAATTATTATCGAACTGATTTAAATATCGGAATAATTTGAATAATTAAAGATATTTTTTTTGTTAACTGAGTGCTAAATGATGTGTTTGTTACGAAAATTAAAAAAAAATGTATTTTATTAATTTTATTTATCAAGGCCCATGTACACAACTAGTCTAGAATAGCTTAAAACCGGTATAGTATTATAATAAATTGTTTTGTCATATATTCTTATTAAATACACTTGGCGATGATTTCCGAAATAAAAAAAACCATATAAGAGATACGGGAAGATTTTTGAAAATAATTTATTCAGACATTCAAAATCTTGCTCGTCGATATAATAAAAGATATTATTAAGTACTATCATTTTTTTTTTGTCTCGCAAAAACAAGGAAATGCAGAACCTGTTTGTATTCACAGTCTACCGGAAAAATAGTTACGAAACTGCGGTTATTACCTCGATGCTATATGACTTGTTGATGGCGAACATCTCTCGGCTCTTTTGGGCTGCTGCTACTGCCATTGTATCTGATTGCGGTTTCTTGGCGTTGACTCTACCGAAACTGTGTAGCAAAATGCCGTAAGCTCCAAACTCCAGTGTAAATGATCACCAAGAAATATCGCGGCTCGCGGCGAAATCGGATTTACCGTCGGATAAATGAAAAATAACAAATTACGGTGAAAGCTAATGTCACGGTTTGATCGCGGGTCGACAACTCGTCTAGTTTCGTTTGTGTGGTTTTTAATAACTCTGCGGCGGACGAGAGTTACAAAATAGCCGTATAGTGCTGGTCGTTTCTGACGGATCGGAAACGATTTTCACGGGCTACTAGATTTCCTCTCGAAATCGACAACAGACGGAAACGGTATGTATATGTAGTACACGACTCTGCTGGATGGCAACAATTACGTATACGACGACAAGGGCGTGCGTATAATAACGATGATGGCAGGTGCGTGGTATATACCTGGTTCCGGTTTAGGACTTCTCGGATTTTGCGCTTGACGGAAAATCGGAATAACTGAACGTGGATTGAACAGTGGTATAAGTCCTCTATTTGTCGCTATATGTGCTGAGAACCCGAAACAATTACGAGTATATTTACGTCGACCGGCGGATGAGAACGCACGTCACACGTGCACTCGGATGCGAATGAAAAGACAACCCCGTATTGGTGTTCGGCTCCTTATATAAAGGGACATCGGCCGAGCGCGCGCGTCGAGAGTCCGCTCCCCTCCCCCCGGACCGACCGACGTCGACCGCCCACCGACCGCCGCGGAACGTGACGCGACACGCACGCACGCCGCCCGATGGGAATTTCCACGGTGTCCCCCCCTACCCGCCCCCCGACGATTTCCATGACACTGCCACCGTCGCCGCCGCCCCACCGCCCGCCGCCACCACACCCTGCGCGTTGCTGCTGGATAACCTTATGGCCGCCGTCACCGCCGTCACCGTCACCGCCGTCGAATCCGACCGCGACGACATGCTGCACGGCAAACGATCGGAGTATCGGACCGAACGTCGAGCGGCTTTTCTTACTGACGCGCGCGCATTACTCGACAGTTATAATATTATTATGTATTATTAATTATAATATTATTATATCTCCAGTACAACACGCCGCGACGTGATATTTTATTTACGATATTGTTATTGTTTTTGTTGTTGTTGTTGTTGTCTTGTGAACAATGCGATTGTAACAGACGCATATCACCGTGATATATTTTATATACATACATATTACATTTACATATATATATATATATTATATATATCACACGGGTAATGACAATAAATTATAATTATAAACATTATGTATTTTCGTGCGTATTATATGTTATTATTATTATTATTATTATGAGACCGTCGTGTCATCGTCGATTTTATTGTCGTAAAATTCGCGAAAATCGACGCACGCCGCCAATACGTTAATAATAATAATAATAATAATATAGTATTATTATAAATTATTATAGTTATTAGTAGTTATTACCATTATAATTATTAATAATATTATTCCGTCGCCACTCGTCGACCGCCACGTTCCACGAGCGAGATCACCATTCTCTCGTCGTCGTCGCGTAGTACGAAACCCAATACTGTTCGGTACGTTTATCGTTTTTTATGTTTTTTCCTCGGGATACAATAATCGTTTTTTATGTTTTTTCCTCGCGATCTCGTTATTACAATACTATAATAATATAAACATCGCGTTATTGGAATTATTCATAAGTCGTAAAAAGATGTACGACGCAGCGATATATTGGTTTTTGATAATTATTTTTATAATAATGTAAATATATATATTTAAGTAGGTAGGTATTTTTTCACGTTTAAAGCTTTATTCGCATATCCCAATATCAGTATATTAAAATAGCTGTTGTACAGTTTAACTATTATTATAGTCATCAACATCATTATCATCGTTAGGTGTAGGGCGGGTATACTGTCTATACTGTCTAGTTGTTACCCTAAATGTTATCGTAAACAAAAGAGGCAAAGGGCTATATGACATAAGTGCCAAAGGTGTAAAAATTACATAATATAATTTTTGCCAAAATCAGTAAGATACCAACGCCAGCATGGCAGCATATAATATGTCAAAAACGCCAAAGATATAAAAGATTGTTTTAAATTTGTCTTAAATGTATCTATATATTTGTCCATTAAATAAAATGCATGCAATTCCTTCATTTGTAATCGTTTTTGTAAAATTAATTTTCTATTTAGCTTACGCGAAATACGAATGCTTTCTAACTTTCTAAGTACATAGTTAGTAGGTACCAACAATATAATGTTATAACTTTATAAATTATAACACAAAAACTCAGATGGTCTATCGTAATCAGATAATACAAAAAAAAAAATAAATAAATTGTCAGGTATCTGAAATTTTGTACGATACGATTTATTTTTTACCTGTCTCGTTTTAGTGCTTATGACGACTTCCACCGAACGAAAGGGTCTAGTGGGTATCGACTGTAGGCATTAGAATATAGTTGCCTCCCGATGGGCAGGCAATAAATATATAAGTGGTTCCCAGCAAAAACTTTTTAAAAGGAAGCTAGCAACAACTATCAAACATGTATAACATATTTTTGCGTAATGTTTGGATGACTGATAAGTGATAACAATACATTTTCATTAAAACGAATCAAAAATTAATTATACATACTCGTATTTATAATATAAAAGATAAATATTTTAATAATAATTTTTTTGTTTTATTATTATTCATGGGGTAAAGCATCAACTACTGGGTTATTGCAAAAAAAAAAATATTAGTTACACATGATAATATAATGGTTTCCTTAGATTAAGTTGTACATATCAATAAGTTTTAGAAATGTGATGATTTTGTGTTTATATTTTATATATATATATAAATTTATATTTAATAGTAAAATATATACGTGCCTATACTTAAAAGTAATATTTATTATTATAACAATTTACAATATTATATTATATTAAATAAATATTACTGTAAAGTGTACACTTAATTGTTTATAGTTATAACAGTATAACACAAATATAATATTTAATATTAAGTATTCATCTATTTTACGTGGTATATTTTAGTGAAGTTTATGAACCACTAGGTGATTAATTCTATAAACTGGAAGCAACTATAGTGTGAACGTTTTTGGGAGGCAACTCGTATAGTCGTATATAATTATGAAATAACTGATCTTCGGACACAATTAGTGTGTATATTAATGTTTTTATTTACGTTAAGGATGGGAGGCAATATATTTGAATGCACCGGTTAGGTAGGTAATAAAGTACCTACCAGCTACCAACTTACTTGCTATTAAAAATTAACCGTGATTTACGGATGAGATTATTATAGCTGTTTTATAATAAATAACATACGTCATACACATAAATACATATATTATAATAGGACTAATAGGTAGGTACTCGTATAGAATTGTTAACTGCGGAATTCCTTCATTTACGGAAAATCGATGTAAATTTTAAGTGAAACCCAACACCAAATATATATTATTATATTATCATTACTATTATAACTGATTACAAGTTACAAATTACCTTCTCTAAAACCATGTAACTAGTTACAAGTTACTAGATACTTTAATGTTGAGTAACTATAGATACAAGTTACTGTTATGTAACTAAGTTACATTTAAAGTTAAAAGTTATATTGATAAATGTATAAAGAATTATTGATCGGCCAGGAGCTTGGTGAATTAACTTTATGGCCGTTGTGTTAAGAAAAAAAAAGATGAACTAATCAACCAACCGTAATCGTACAACCACTGAATATGAATACTGGCCAGATTAATTGTGAAAACTAAAATGAACATATCAAACGTTTTTTTTTTTGCTTATGCAGACCCACTTGCGTATTATCATAACACAAAAAGCAGAATGTAACTTTTAATTGTAACTTGTAGCTTTCATATAAAGTTACAGGAAAATGTATAACTATTGTTACAAGTTACATGTTACAAAAGTAACCGAGTTACATGTAACTATGAAATGCTGAAACCTGTATATAAGATATTGTGGATATTATTTATTATATATATTATTACTAGGGCTGGGCTTTTAATGCAATAAAAAATTTCAAAAAATGCCCTTAAAAAAATGCAAAAATGACTTAAAAAAATAAAAAGTGCATTTAAATTATATTGATTATAGCTTAAAAATTGGAAATTTTTTTTTATTATACTACAGTAATGTATTTTTTTGTTTTTTTTTTTAATAGTTAATTGCACTTTGTTATTTGTTTAGTTGTACTTGTTTTTATGGTTCTGTTGTCTTAATCATTCTAAAATAATAATTTGTTATCGACGATAACTTGTACCTACGTATGTTATTGTGAAAAATGCTCTAAAAACTAAGGAAATGTACTAAAAATGTAAAAAAAATGCAAAATAAAAATACTTTAAAATAATCAGTATCATCCAAAACACACTTTATACTTACGGATCAACGTTTCAAAACATCAGAAAAAAAGATGCCTTTGCATCAATATCCCAGCCCTAATTATTACGTTTTAGATTCAATGCACAGCGACAAACCTATCAAGTTTAGTTACATTTTGTTTTAGAACTTTCTGTGATCCAAAAAACGTGATGAAAAAAAGCAATGCCTCTAGATTTGGAATAATATACCTTGGCTAGGTGGCACTTCGAAGATCGCCTTTTAAATTTCCTCTACATTTTTAAAAGAATTGTGAGATCGAATAGGACTATAATTTATTTTGGTCGTTTTGTTGTTGCACAAAAAACTAAGTCACATTATAGCATAGAAGATACTTCTCAAGCTTATAGGTAAATCAGTTACAGCTAATAATAAGGTATTAAAAATGTCAGCATTTCTTATTACGAATTTTGAAAAACTGAAAATTTAACACCGAGTCGTTCGAATGACAATTTAAACGTTCGATTAAAATAGAAAGTGAAAAGTAGAAATTAGTAATTTTTTTTAATAAAATGTGTAGCTATTAAAAACTTACCGTTTTAAAATACAAGGTTAGATTGAGTACCTCGTTATTGTATTATTCTAGCGTATTGTAGCTATATTTATTGTTACTAAAGTAGTAAAGTATAAGTGTATATACTGTATACTATTATAGGTACCAGCTATAAAGTAAATCCCTTTATAGAAATGGATTTCGATCGTAATGATTTATCATTGCTTTCAATCTTATCGAATAATAAAATAATAGAAAATGGTGTGTAGTATTCTGTTTATATATTTATTAGGAATAAGATTTGTTCGTTTAGTGAACAATGAATTTACAATTTACAGTACTTGTTTAATATAGCTGTGTACATCAGTCATCTGCAGGCTGTAGCACATTACTGGTGATAATATTCTTACAATAATGTTATTAAATATGAAATTCAATATTCTAATTAAATCGTATATGAAAGAAAATGTTATATGAAAATAATTATAATCTTCAGTAATAGGTATGAAGAAGAATAGCTATATTACAGTACTTAAGAGGATGTTACAGTAGACAAAATATGGCATAAAAACATGGTTTCGTATTTCCAGGAATATATTGAAGCGTTTTACAGTATAAATACCTATTACAAAAATTGTAGAGGAGATTTTTTTCTAAAAACGTAAGAAGCCTGATTTTCGATATTTTATTAACTAGTCAAATAATTAATTGATAAAAGTTTTAAAAAAACGTGTTTATTTACCATGCGATATTGGACGATTGGAACAAGATATCAAAAATCAGGCTTCATACATTTCTAGAAAAAATTCTCCTCTACAATTTTTGTAATAGGTATTTATACTGTAAAACGCTTCAATAAGCCGTATACCTGGAAGTACGAAACCATGTTTTTCGGTAAAAAAAACGTTTAATTACGCTCGTCATGCCAGCGGCAGCGCAAGTCGCTATTTTATTTAAAAATGAATAAACCAATATATTTTTTTATATTTTACAATTTACATAAGCTAATATTCATACTTTTCCGAGGAATGAACTTTTTTCAATAAAGTTGTATTATTCTTAATTTTTTCATAAAATTCATTACAAGTTAAACCAAAATTAATTTTACATACCATTAGACCTCGTACAGTATTTTCTTTCATCCTTGCCGTTTCGTCTGACCAAGCGTTATTCATAAGCGATAAAATTCTTTCTACTGGAGCAGAAGTTCCTGGCATACAAAAGATATACTGTAAAATTAATTTTATATTCGGAGCTAATTTATCCTTTTCTTTAAAATGGCAGAAGAGCTGCACCCTTTTTCTTCACTTGTAATTTTTATTTTAGTTTTTATTTCTTCCTCTTTCCAATCTTTAACGTTCAATAACCAAAACTCTTTAGCTAGTACAACTTCATCGAAAAGCTGATCTTGGTTTACAATTTTACTTTTTAGTCTCAAGTTTATAATTTCTGAAGCTTTTAAAAAATGATCCCATTTAATTTAATTTTCATCCACCCAAAAAAATGTAGATGCATCACCAAAACTATTTTCCCACAGTCTGATATATGCTATACATCGTACATAAAATAATTTAAAGTCTTCTTCAATTTTTAAAATATTAGTTTCCTCGTCAGTTAAAGTGTTCAAAACCTTTTTCGCGCCTAATGGGACAAATTTAGCATCCTTCCTTTCTATGATATTATTCTCCAATTTTCTTAGAATATTTACTACATCCGATGCACTTGCATTGTTTTTTTCCATTGCTTGAATAGAGTTATTGAAAAGAGAAAGTTAACCATGAATAAACCATAGATAAATTTCTCCTCGCTTGTCAGTAAAAAAATTTTTTATGAGGTTTGGACATAAATCTTGGCTACAGAAGTAAACTTTCAAACCTTCAAAAATTAGCAATATTTTTTCAATTGCTGGTAGCAAGGAAAGAAATCGTGTGCTACCATGCTGTAATACCTTTTTGTATTCTACTTCTGCGAATTCACAAAACTCTTGAAGTCTTGAAGCTTAGTTACTCGTACTGTGTAAATATGATAATATTTGTATATTTTCACAATTAAAGCTTCAATTTCGATAGGTAAGACATCAACTGCTGTTTGCATACAATTATGAACTATGTGTGCACCACAACCAATTCCATTGATTTCTCAATTTCTCAATTCATTCTTCATTCTAGCAAAAACATTATTGTTTCCTCCTCTCTTTACTCCACCAAAATTTGTGTTACAGTTGTCTCCACAAAATCCGATAACTTTTTTATCCAAGTTGTGTTAATTTAAAACTGTCATAATATGGTTTGTAAGTATTTCAGCTGTTTCTCCCGGACTGACTTAATTCTAAAAGCTTAACTCTTATTCCAAATTCTGGTTGAAAATAACGTATAATTACAGGTACAGTTTTTATATCTTTTCTGTTAGAAGCATCCATACTTACGGTAATAAAGTTGCATTTATTTAAATCATCATGAAGTTCGTCAAGTGCTAGAGGAGCTAGGATGTTTAAAACAATAGCATCACACTTTGTTTTACCCAGGGTAAACTTAGGCTCAAAAAATGTGGAAATCAATTTAGAGTTACAAGTATTAGAATTGAAGATAAGATTATGATTTACAGTGTGGTAAGCGTATGTTGCCTCTTTGGCCGCCAAATACAATTCTTTGTTATGTGGTTCAGAACTTTTGAAATATGAAGTTAATTTCGAAGAACCAGCCCATACCAACAAACTATTTTTATGTCTACTTGATTTTAAGTGATTTTTTATATCAGCACTCCCTCCGTGAGATACTGAAAATTCTGAACCACAAGAACATTTTACTCGGTCAACTTGATTAAATACTTTTTTTAAAAAAGGATATTTATTTTGTAATTCATTATTAAAAGTACACGATCTTTTAGACATCTTTGTAAATAAATTTTAACGAAAAAATATAACCGCACAGACACTTACGTCTTACGTACGTCGTACACACGCAATCACGAACAAGACTGACAAAGATAATAATGAAATTGGATTTATATTTTATATAACTACCTAACGGCTCAATTACTAAAGGCTAATCGTATACACTGAAAAATAAACCTGTAACCTGACTTTCAGTACTTGACATTTTCTTCCCATAAGCCTCCAAAATGTGGAGCAGCTGGAGGTATGAACTGCCAGGTCATCTCTCGTTGTAAGCAGTACCCACGTACCTTGTATTGTACAGGTGTGGACTGAAGGAATGAACGCAGTTCACGTAATGTGTTGTTGGCCCCGACAAAGTTGGTCCCATCGTCACTCATGATAGTGGAGGGGTACCCACGTCGAGACACAAATCGGCGTAATGCTGCTATAAAAGTTTCTGTGCTTAAGTCACTAACCACTTCAAGATCAACAGCCTTAGTAACAAGGCAGATGAAGAGTGCTAAGTAGCTCTTGGTGTGGACACGCGTGCAGCCTCGCGGCAAGCGTGTAGTAAACGGCTCCACACTGTTTGAAGGGCTTGGATATAGTGGTTCGTGAGGGTGGTAGATCAGCCATCATCTGTTCGCTTTTGAGTGGCCGAAAGCGATAACATTGCACACATTGATGGATTATTCGTTTGATCGTACTATACGTCCATGTATGATCCAATAACGTCCACGTAGTACAGCCATGGTTACGTAACCAGAGTGTAGGTTGAGGACATGCTCTCGCCGTACAATTAACAGTGTCAGATGATGCCCCTTTGGTAGTATGATAGGGTGTTTGTGGTCATATGTTAGATCAGACCGACCCAAGTGACCACCAACTCGTAGTAGACCGGCTGAATCTAGAAATGGATTAAGGCTTTTTAAGATACTGGCAGATTTTAGCGAGGTGTTCTGACGTATATCATTCAACTCAGTAGAGAATTATTGTTCTTGTGCAGACCTGATCCAATGATGTAATGCCTGCTTCGTCTCACACACACTTATAAAGCCGGAGACCCGGTTCTCAGCGCTCGTTCTGCAGTTTTTCATGAAGCGAAAAAGATATGAGGTGGTGCGTAACAAACGATCAAGGTCGGAATACCTGGTTATAATATCAGAGGTCATAACAGTTGGTCATAACCAGTGCATTTAACGTATAGCTGATATCTGTTACGATACGAGATGAGATACGAAATTATGTGACTTCAGACACATTAGTAGTGGCATTGGAGATTCCTCCCACAACAATGGTTGATCTATGGCGTTCTAGACCTAACCTATAGTAGCTAATGAGCTAGTAATAAAGTGTGATTGTGAAGCAGAGTCCAACAGCGCACGACACAGTTCATTTCGTCCATTAGGTCCATGTACACGTACCAACGCCGTAGACAGAAGTACTGATGACAGTGAACGTGACTTTCCATGGGCTGCTATGGTTTCAACGGTTGTAGATGATGGTGCCGGAGGTGTGTTCACGTTACTATTGTCTACCGTGGATTCAGGTAAATGTAACAACGTATGGTGTTTCGCTTGACATACCTTACACACTTTATCCATAGTACATTGTTTTTTCTGATGGCCTGGACGCAGACAGTTCCAACACAGTGATAACTTCAGAGCTAACGTTCGTCGTTCTTCGACACTAGCTTTCATGAACATGGAACATTTGTATATGCTATGTGGTAATGAACATACTTGACAAGATGGCTTACTGTCCTGTTGTCTTACCATAGTAGCATGTGAAACAGTTTTTGTTGTTGTCTTTGGCTTACTAGGACCATGCCTAAACTGCATGACCTCAAGAGCATGAACTCGATTCTCTATGAACTCACCCAAATTGTGCCATGTGAGAAAGTTAACACGACACAATTTCCCAAGTCTTTCTCATCTCAGGTGGCAGCTTTGTAGACACCAGATGAACGAGTATGTCATCCCAATACTTTGTAGGACGTTCTAATGCTTGTAATGCCCTCACATGTTTGTTGGTGCAATCAATTAGGTTTTTGAATGCAATTGCAGACTCCTGCTGAGCAGCTGGTTGCGAGAACAAATGATGCATGTGTATTTGAAACACCAAGTACTTGTTATCATATCTACTTACAATAGACTTCCAAGCTTCTGTGTAATTAGTTGCATCCGACGACAGTGATGATATGCTGTAGCAGCTTTTCCTACTAAACTTGTTTTCAAATAGTACATTTTTTCGGTGTTGTTTATGTCTTTGTTTTTATGTACCATTGTTTCAAATTGATCCTTGAATGAATACCATTCTTCTAAATTACTTCCAAATTGTGGTAAGTTGATTGGTGGTGGCCGAATGTTCTGTTGAACAGTTTAGCCTGTTTTCACCGATCGTTAGATTAGACAATGATTCCAAGAAATCGGCATTCAGTGTAACATATTATGTGTCAGACACTTCCATCAGCTTGTCTATGTGCTCTTGTTGTTGATCATCTTCATCTAGATCGGCCAACTGCTCATGTATACCCATGTATGATGTAAACGCATCTTCGAGCAGAGCAAGTTGTGTTTTTATGGTAAATTCATTTAATGTTTCGATCAGATCTTTCGTATGTGCATTACGTTTCTTCTCGATTAACTTCCTCTTGTTGAGGAGCAGTTTTTTTTTATTTTTTCCAAATTGCGGGGCGCACTTTGACGATTTCATAGCGGATACGGACGCGAGGCTCAACTTAACACGACGCACTATATTGATGAATATATGATACTGTGATCCGAGCCCGTTTGGACCAAAAATGATGGGCAATTATGTAAAAAAATGATAACGCATAATTTATGTGTGAAAATGTGCTTTTGCAACGGCATCAGCAGACTGTATATTTTGTAATAAATGACAAGCGTAAAAACGTACTTGTACAAAAAGAAAAATGTGTACATAACCTTAAAAACAACAGGTATAATAAATTAAATTTCGGAGGCATATCACAGTACAACCGCGGTTCTACCTAACTCGGTGATAAAGATCTAAATGATAACACATAACATTAAATGAGATTAACAATTAATTAACAGACACTAAACTATTGAATGACTTGTTAATCCATGTGTTCTTCTGGTATGTTAATTGTTTTAATATTATAATACATCAATCAATTGCACTTCTGATTCATTTGTAAATAGAAAATATCGTTTGGTAGTTCTATGAAATATGTAATATTATTATTTTATATTTTTACACAACAAATAACATAAATATATATTATATATACTAAAATATATCGTCGTCATTCATAAGTCAATAACAATTATTTTTATATACGTATTTATAATATGATTAACATTAATGATAAAATTAGTATTCGTTAACATTCGAACAATATTAATGATAAAGAGCTTATATTTAAAAAGCCATATAATCATAACAATTTCCAATTAGGCACTTGGTAAATAGTTGAATTTTTAGAATCATTACAAATAGATAATATATAAATAGGTATATTAAAATAAATATGTAACTAGTAAATATTTATTATTTTATGGTTCCGCGATTGTTTCTTGAAATCTCACATTGTAAGTTAATAAAAAAATAACGTCCCGGGATATAAGATACCAAAAATGATACCAAACTATAGCCTCACTTCGCTAACCTTGATGGAAGATAATATTATTATAATGTACCAGCTATTACTATTATTCATTTGAAAGTACCTACTCAAAAAACGTTTATGAGTGGAATATAGGTATATAATATATATATATATGTTATTAACGGGTGATTGTTTGTTACATTACATTAAAACAATAAAACCACTAGCCAATAGGTCTTTATTCTCCAAAATTTGTGAGTGATTGAACCAAATGATCTTTTTGGAGTAGGTCGTGACCGTGTGTCTCATCCGAATTCGTTTCCAACGTTTGTGCGCTTTAATTTTGTCATGTTGAGCTTGCAGTGGTGGTAAAATAATTTTCTCTGTTTGGGGGTGGGGAGAATTTTAACATGGTACATTATTATTTGATCGTTAAAAATATAATTTGTGGTTACCATTCTATACTTATATCTTATAATATATTATTATAAATATTATAAAAAAGTCATTGGGGAGACCACCCGTTTGACCACCACTGTGTTGAGCTTGTGACTATACAGACTACAGGTATAGACTGTAAGAAATAAGAATATCCAACTACAATACTACATCATTTTTGCTTATATTATGTCATTTATATCATTGCCATAACCTGAAATTGTATTTAAATACTTAGCTGACAATCTGAAACCACAATATTTCATAAATACGCATAAAAAAAAGCCACCTGCCACGTGTATCCAATTATTTTGCTTTTATTGCTTTGAAGACAAAAAAAAGCACTACCGCGTTTATAAAAACATCGCTATTGCAAGGCCAATAATATTATACATATAATTTATATATTATATATTGTTTGTATTGATTGAAATTATTAGATTAGTCATAACAATACGTATTATAAATCATGTAACTATATTACATTTATGTCGGGTTCCATTATACTTCCATGTGAGAGTTTGACTAACCGAAGTCGAGGTCTCAATGGTCATGCACTCTGCTCGTGCCTCAAATCTCAAAACACCATTCGTTCGTGATAGCACGTATCGAGGTTTTTACCTCGAGTTTATAATATACTAGCTATATAGCCAATAGGTATATAATGTACTACCGAGACATTTTTAAATTCTAAGAGAAGCGTACATATGATAAACGATACCGATAACGTATAATAATGGTATATTGATGAATTAATAATACATAGGTTGGTACCTACTTGGTTATACATGTATAATGTATATTTCATAAACTCAATTTACTTAATGGGATTTTGATTACTTCCTTTTTTTTTAAAATCAAACAACATTTTTTTTAGAATAAATTCACTATCCACATCCACACTATATGTACAATTTTATGTACTTACCTATATAAAATTACTATATACTAAGTTTTTTTATTTTCCTGCTTTAAAATGATTAAATAAAATACATTATAATAATACATTTCCTGATATTGTGTAAAATATTTTACCAAAAAAATAAAATAACGTATTGTGGTAGTATTGTTTTGACTTTGAGAGCTAATATAGATGCGGCGATCGTAGATTTAGGTCCAGTTAATTTATTCATCCATCAATATTAGCAAAAATGAACCATAATACATATTATTTAATCTCGTGCAAACGTCTATAATATATATAATTGAATATTTTTATTCGATATTTATAGCTTATACTCGTGACAATATTTTTTTATTTTTTTTTATACAAATTCCAATTATTATTCAGTGAATTTAGAAGTTTAATTTACCGACCATATATAATTATTATTTATAAAATATAAGTAATAATATACTTAATAGTTAATAGTAAATATATTATTTCCCGTGTAATTCTGCGTTGATTGATATTTAAGTGAATTCGTAATAATAACAGATGGCGAAAGTAGTACACCTATAGGATAATAATTGGTTACAGTGTTTATTATTATATATTGTATACTTGACAAAAATTCGCTTGTACAAACTAACAATTATTTATATTTACTATTATAGTTGACTGCAATAATATTGCTATTAACTATTATATTTAAAATAATGTAACACTTTATTCTTTGGTAAAATATAATATAATATTATACATATTGTAGTATATAAACTCGTAGAGCGTTCATAATTGTTTCATTATCTTTATTGTTATAAATTGTAATAATTAATGCAATATTTTTTTTGTTTACCTAAAATGTGTTATTAAATTTGTGCTTGTCTTATAAATATAATAAATACAAATTTGAGTTCAAATTATGATGTAACATTATTTCACCTTAAGTTTTACAGTTTTTTTTTTAAGAATATGTAAATAAGAATAAGGAAACATTTTTGAAAAATGTATTCTTAATATTTCTTTCAAATCGATTTCTTGAAATCCTTTAAAAAATAAAAAATACTCCTTTAACACATTAATATTTATAACACCCATATATATCTTTCCTTAACGACCGGTTACATCTATGTTGAAACTGTCAGTTCTTTTAGTTACTAAATAATAGGTTTAATTAATTATATTAATGGTTCATTGGCATTACCTTATTGTATTTATTCCTAAAACTATTAAGTATATGATCTAAACTATAATACACTTTTGTGTATGAGTAAACTGCTCCATTATTACATAAATGAATAAATCTACTAAAAAAAAGTCTATTACATTAAATACCTACATATTGTCATTTATCAAACGAATGTGTGAAATCTAGTAGTTTGACCGGTTATGATCTCAATGGTCTCGAACTTTATTTCATCGGAAAAACTCAAATACTACAATATTTACGTATTTGTTTTGTAATAACACGTTGAATAATTGTTATAATTTAGGTACTTAGTAGAAACATACCAAGGACATTTTAAAATAAACTCTAGTCATACGGTTACTAATTTTCATTTGACTGTATTGTAGGCTGTAGCCTATGTAAGTGTTACCTATATTTATATGAGAAATTGGGTAGTGATTAAAAATCATTTTGGAAATGTCCAAACAGTTTAATTATATTTTAACAATTTATTGATATTTAGGTTGGGTTATGCCGTTATGGCTTATGGGTTTTTACAACTATCGAATTAGCATAAAAAATAACAACTAGTTAATGTAAACATTTAAATATTTAATGTTTATACGAATGCACGTCATAATAGCAGAACAACATTGAAAAAAATGAAAACAAGCGGTTAGAAGACGAAAATACAGACCTTACAGGCAACAACCATATATGCCAAAAATCCTGTACAGATCCATGAGGGCTTTGCCCCTACTTCTCCATCTGACTTACTGTTACAATATTAACGTTTTTATGGAACTTTTTGTCATGTAATGCGACCGGTGCCAACGTAATTTTGTCCACAAAGATACGATCTACAGGAATAATGATCCTGTTCTGTAGTATCAATTGGAGTTTAATGCAGGCTATACAGGAAGTCTTCTTCTTTCAGATTAAAAATAGTCATCAAAATCACAATTCTACAAGGCCTGAGAATTATTCCTGTGATTTTTATCGATATAATACGACCCCCCCTCTTAAATAATTATCGGGAAGTAGATTAATGGAAAAGTTTTATAAGTAAGGCGGCAACTAATATAAAATATAATTTTCAAATTTTATAGAATTGCGGAAAATTTTAAAAACCGGTACCAGACCCATATTAATGAAATCGACTGAACTGAACAGAATAAATAAAATATTTTACGGAACTGTAGAACATTACATTTTTTAAACTACCGTCCATCTTAAATCAAGGTAAAGATTCATTTTTCATTTTTAACTATACGTGTACTAAAGTCTCAAAAAATTAAATGAGAGTTTATTCCATATTAAAATTTTGGAAGCGAACTAAACATCTAAAGGCTAGTTGACTAGTTTAGTTTAAAATTTGAGCCTTCATCTACTTAAAATTATAGTATACAATTTTCTTTCATTAAAATATTCACCCACATAGTCTTCTATCTTTGTTATAAGTTTCATAAATATTTGCTCAAACAATTATTTTTATATGCGTTTAATGTTTGTATTTTCAAAGACATTTATTGATAACTGCTGTTATAATTTCCAGTCTCTAGAAACCATTATTTTCAGTGCATTTTTTACTTACGACTAAACAATTAAAATAAATTTCATGATTCAGAAAA